TTTTTTCTTTGTTCTTTATTGTTACCCTTTTTAATGTAACTTCTGATCAAAAATACTATGTCTTTACTCTTCTGCCAATATTGCCGTTGTTGGTGAATTTAATGGTCATCACACTGAATGGCTCGGCTCTAATACCACTGACTTAGCTAACACTTCTGCATTTTTCTAATCTGTTATGCAGGTAGTCAACTTTTTTTTTAAACTACCCTATCTACTTACCTTCATTCTTTGATTTGTATCTTGTCTTCGACCATAGCTTTAATTATATAATAAAAATAAATAATTTTATTCATGACGGTCCTTCGGCTGACATTTCTCCTCACCGTTGATAAATGCGCCTCCTATGTAATATCCTGAATCCAGATAGGTATAGAAACTTTTATTCCTTCTCATTGGTTCCAAGTCAAATCTCATTCTATTATATTGCTGTGCAGCTGCAATATCTAATAGTAATCATTTTTTTCATCTTTTTCAAAAAAACAACAATCTTGAAAACAAACGTCTATTTATTATTGTAAGAAATCAATGTAAAAAGTTGCTGTCTGATGCTAAGCTCCCATTTTTCCCAGTTTTCTAAATCTCAAATTACAATTTAGGCTCTAGAAACATTTGGAAAATCTTCAACAGTGTCATTAGCGCCAAATGTAGATCTAACATTTTATCTCTAATTCATGGGACTGTTCTTATTGCTTCTCTCAAAATTCAAGCAAAGAACTTTTCTTTAAGTTCGACTCTTCAATCTTATGGTCATATTCTTCCTTCCATTCTGGCTAAACAGGTTAACCAACTGTTAGACATTCAAATTGCCCAAGCTTACGTAGCTAAGGTCATATCTCAATTCAACTCTTTTAAGGGTTGTGGTTCAGACAACATTCTTGTCATAGTGTGACAAAAGTGTTTTTCAGAAATCTTTTTAATTCATTTTAAACTGTTTAATAAGTGCTTGACTGATTCTTGTTTTCCTACCTACTCGAAAATGACATCTATGGTTCAAATTTTTAAAAACTTTGAAGTTTTGATTTTTAAAAACTTTTGGACATTCAGTTTTGATTCATTCAGAGTTCTGAGTTTTAACTCCAACTTACTGCAAACAACTATTATAATACAGTCAACATTCCTATATTGATGAATGGCAACCCTCTCACTAAGTTTTCTCTTGTTTATGTCTTCTTGCATTATTCTTTACTACTGATCTAATTGATTGCTGTGTTAACATCTGCTAAAATTTTTTCCTCGCACTTTAACCGTTTGGAAATCTTTCCCATCTTCATATTTTCCAGACTTACACAACCTACATCGTTTCAAGTTTTATGTCAACCGTTTTCCTGCACTTTAACTTTATTCTTTACATTCTAGCAACTCTCAATTTATTAGTGGTTGCTTGCGGCTTCGTTGGAATCAGAATGAAAAAAACAATAAAAAAAAAAAGTACAGCATTACATTTCTTTTCAACATCATGATTATCGACATCAATAAGAAAAGAGAAGAATCATTAGAAAGTAATTTTAATGAGATGCTATTGGTTCCAATAAATAAATTTAAAAAAAAACATATTTAACGCCTGCTTTAGAAACAAGAGATCCCGTATTTGAATCAAGCTCGGGGTTGCATCATTGGTAAGTAAAGGAGACGTGAACTTCCTATTTAAATTACTCCTCCGTAGTGCTCTGTAAAAAGAACGTTAGGTCTTCTTGGGGTACCTAAAATAAAAAATAAACATCAGCATCACAAAAATTAAAAGCATTTTTTTTTAATTAATCTTTACATACATACTATGACAAATAGCTTCTGATGTGTTTAAATAAAGCAAAACAAAAGTAAGTAACAATCATCTACAATACCAGTATTTAAAAAAAAATGAAAATTAAGTAATATCAGTGGTGATCAGTGGTGTTATTAACAATTGTGAGAAAGACAGAAACATATTATGGACATTTTCACGGAAAATATTTATACATATACTAATTATTTGTTTACTTTAAAAAGCTTCTATGCGTCTTGGAAATTCAACAAAAGTTTTATTAAAAATTGTCTTCATCCTATTAAAAATAAACAATAAAACCAAACGAGTTAAAAGGGAGCAAAAAAAAAAACGCGCAATTTACTTGCGTTTGAGTTTTTTTTTAAATTTTATCACATGTAACTTAAACGTAAACATTAAATCATCGAAAAAACAGGAATGTATTTTTTGTTAACAAACATCAGAAAAGATAAATGCAAATTAATGTTTTGGAGTAATATACTTGTTTAAAGCTGTTTGAATGTTTTCTAAAATAAGCAACATAATGAAAACAACTCCTATAAGTTTGTAAGTGTCAGCGATATTGCAAAACATTGCTGACACAGAAAATATTGAATACAAACTTTAGCAAAAACTACGAATTTATTCCTATGCTCTGAAGGAATGTTTAGCCTGAGGTTGGTTTAGCTATATTAGATGAAAAAGTAGCCATAATATATTTTGCCCAAAAAATCCCCCATCTCAATAAACTCCTTTTTACTTTCATGATATTTATTAAAAGTTAAAAGAAAATACATTTTACGCAATGATAATTTTACAAAAAAGCAATTTTTAAAAATAAACTTTAATTAAATTTGGTTTACTTTTTGTGACCATTATTATATGAAACATTTTATTTAAAATGTGAAATGTTCACCAGCTAATCCAGTGCTTTTACTTCTTGACAACCACGAGAACCATGTTTTAATTGTGCGTTTACTTTGTCTAACATTTCTGCAGGACTTGGTGTAGCAAGAATTGAACCCTTTAACCTTAACATATTTTCTGGTAATAAGTTTTTGGTTTCATATGTAACAGACCGTCCAGAATCTGTTACTGCTAACCCATTTCCTGTTACTGTTGATCCAGTTTCTGCTATTGTTCATACCCCAGCTTTTAATCAATCATGTCAAGTTTGTCATCAGGTTCAGCTTATAGTATATTTCCTATTCAGCCTATATCTAATCTTGGAAGTCAACTATTCAGTGTTATTAGACTATTTCCGAAAGCTGGATCAAGAAAATCTATTAAAGAACGTAAACGTCAGAGTACTCGAATACTCACAGACACTCCTGTCAAAAAAGAAAACACATAAAACGCAAAATAAGATCTTCATGACAAGGAAAAGAAAACTTAATCTTGAAAGTAATGATAAAAAAACGTCGAGTCTCAGTAAAAAATTAATTTTGTTTCATTGATTTTTTCTTCTTTAAGAAAGATAAATTTGTAGTAAAATTATTAATAAATTTATTGGCATTTATTATATAAATAGTTTTGACGACTTAAAAAAATTCTTACACATTTATGGTATAAATTTGATCTTGGATCAAGTATACATACATAGGATCAAGGGTGCATATAAGTAGGATCAAGGAAGCATTCTGGTATGCACCCATGATCTCAATGGAGCGTTCTTAATGTTAATCTACTTAAAATATTCTGGTAGAAAAATGATTATTGAATTATAATAAGGTATAAAATTTGCTATTGTGTACTGTTATTTTAGAGATCGAAATGAATAAATATATTCAGTAAATTGGCCTGATTGATTTTCAGTATCATGGGTGCATACTCTCCCCTACTACAACTCAAACAAAAGTCCAAGTCCGAAAAAAATCTAGAAAAAAATTTCTAGACTTGAAGTACTGAGTCCTTGAAATCTAGAAAGAAATTTCTGGATTTGAGGACTTTTTCAAAAAATCAACTATTGTGTTCCTCCACTTCCAAACAAGTGTAATCGGCCCTGCCCTTAAGAAATAGGAAAAGTATAAACTCTTTATAAAGGAAGACAACAACAAGAACAACAACAACAACAAAAAAACTGTAATAAATACATTTATAGTTTTATAGTTTTTTTGCCAAAACCTTAGACCTCGAATATGATGTTGTATTATCAGCTACAGATTTTCAGCCAGGATATATTCTTTATCATATAGATATATATAGGCTACATCCTATATCATATATAGGATGCACTCTAACTCGATAAACCTTACAGAGTTTAAGCTTTAGGAAAAAAGGATTTGCTGATTAAAATCTTAAAAAAAGTACAAAAATATAATTTCAGAAAACACTTTTTTTATATATAGCAAAACGAAAAGGCAGGTGTCAATATAAAAACCTAACATTTTTTTACTTTTTTCTAACCTACAAATGAAATGATGTTGAATATAAGATTTAGAAAAGATACAAAGTAAAAATCGTGTCAAAACTATATCTTAAACATTGTATAAATCAGTGATCATCCAGGTCATTTTTTAAAAATCCGGAAAATATAGCTTATGTAAAATATCCGGAAAAATCCGGAACATATTTTCCCTTACTATTCTCCTAATTTTGCTCTCAGCTGGTAGGTTTCAGAATTTTTATAGACATTTTTGACATTTTTTTTAATGGCTGATCACTGAAAACGAAAAATGTATATACATTAAAATAAATATTATATAAACTTGAATGTACGAGAAAACATTTTGGATATCCGGAAAAACTATATTTTGAGAAAAATATCCGGAAATATCCGGAAAAAGATATTCCCTGATAAATGCAATATACATTTTATGAGCTTTTGATTTATTGAAATATCTGAAAACTTTATGTATTGACATATCTGAAATACCCATTGGTTTTTTTAATATTGAGGTATTTATAAGATTACAAAATGACTAATATTAGGCCAAACGCTTTCAAACTATTCAGTTCTTTGAGAGTTCTTCATTTTTGAAGAAACCCTAACCCTAACTCTGACAGTGACTCCAGTTTCTCTTAACTATTTGATTCTTTATTGATTAGTGTAATCCATTTACTTCAATGTTTTGTTAGATAAAAAATAAATGAGATTTTGATTTGAGGATTTTTGAGGTTTAAAGGGTGAGTATAAAGAAATATAGTAAATAACATTGAGCTGATATTTTTTTAAATTTAGTTATTTTCTTTCATTACTATTTAAACTGCATATTACGCTGCAGTTATAAACAATACTAATTGATATAAAATAAACCTATTTCAAAAAATATATACTTTTTCTATATAAATTTTATGTATAATTTCTAAAAAATAGTTTCACTTTCAAAAATATTTACAGAAACGATTTAGAATAATTTAATTTAAACACCTAGACAGATTATATATCTAAAATACCTTTGCTAACATTTACAACATTTGCAATATAACAAAAATTACAATATTTAAAATGTTGGAAAATATTAAAATCAAAATGCCGTATAAAACAACAAGAAGCGTTTATGGCTCGAGTTAATGCTACTTGAAAGCTTCTTGTAAAAAGTCTCAAGACCCAATTATTGACTTTTCTTTGTTCACATCATTTTCTCATTATATTATCTCTTGCTGGGCGCAATAATGCCTTCAAGTTGAGTCTAAAAAAGTAAATCAAAAATTCTAATACATCTACAAAAAAACCACATATCTGACAGATGGAGGTCTTTGATATTAAAAAATAAATATAAGAAAAAATTATTTTCTACCAATTTTTTTTATTCTAAAGATCTAAAATAAAATGTAAAGGCATTCTTTCTAATTATGAAATCCTTGCTCTACAAAAGAAGTACATTATTATGCAATCCTTTTTCTACAAAAGAAGTACATAATTATGCAATCCTTGTTCTACAAAAGAATTACATAAAGCATTGACACCATGAAAGCAAATTATATTCCTATAAAAATATGAGTTATAAGATATGATTTCAAATGAAACTTTAGCTACACAATTTTTTATTAAAATTAAAAACTTTAGCTACAAAAAAGAATTTGGATGAATTTAATAATAAACAAAACAACAAAATATATACAAAATAAAAGAAATTATCAGAAATTAACCTTGTTTAGCAGTATATAAGTTTTTGTATAGAATCATGGGTTAGAATTTCGAAAACTATTAAACTTGTTAAATACTAGTTAAACTTGTTAAAACTTATTTCATGTCTATAGTGGTATTTATTTTTGTTTGTTATATAGTTGAAGGTGTCTTAGTTACTGTGTTAGCCCACCCACAATTTACTATATATATATATATATATATATATATATATATATATATATATATATATATATATATATATATATATATATATATATATATATATATATATATATATATATATATATATATATATATATATATATATATATATATATATATATATATATATATATATATATATATATATATATATATATATATATATATATATATATATATATATATATATATATATATATATATATATATATATATATATATATATATATATATATATGCTTTTGTTCTGTCTGAATCACTAATGTGGTGTTCATTCACTAGTAAGTTCCTATATGTATGTTTCATCTGTTAGAACCTCTGGCATGGTGCGGTGCTCATTTACTCCTAAACACATTCGGTGTTTATTCACTCCTAAGTTACTATATGTATGTTTGTATTATGTCTGAACCTCTGGTGCGGTGTTTGTTCACCCGTAAGTTGTTAATTGTATGTTTGTGTTTTGCTTGAATCTCGGGTGTAGAGATAACTCAGTTACCAACTAACGACTCCAACTATAAAACTTACTCTCACCTTAATTTCCAGTATTACATTAGATATAATGCTTTTCATAATGCATTTTTAAAATACCCCATTCAATGTTATAAAGCACTGCTTAGAAGAAGTAACTTCTTTGAACTACTTCTGGTCAGATCAGATTCAGAATCACCATGATCATTCTGCTAATTTATTCATGTAACACAGTATTACTTGCAAAGTCTAGGAGAAATAAACTCCGACTTAAATGCCCTGTATTGAGCTCTTGGTTAATTAAAGGCAAGGTTGAGTCAAGTTCTCCTTAACTCATAGATGAGTATTTGACTTTATGAAAATCCCGGAAATTATTTTTCTTTGATAATCCTGGAAAATCCTGGAAAATTGTTTTATTAAAAATTGATCGCATTTAACTGACAAACGGAATTTAGATTATTTTAAAACGGAATTTATACTAATTAATTTTTTACAAAAAGGAATTTCTAATATTCGAAAAAGTTTGAATTAATTAAAAAGCAAAAAAAATGAAGAAAAAAAATTGTTACAAAAATCGATCTTGTAAAAATTTTAATTATAGAAAACATATTTGTTTAAATGCAAAAGTTGTCGTATGTAAAATTTTATGTAAAAATATATTAATTTTTTTTCAAATTAATATCAAAAAAACATCCGGAAATTCCTGAAAAAATTAAAGGTGTTTTATGTGAATTTCCGGAATTCTGGGAATTTTCGGAAAAAACTCATCTATCTTAACTTAATTCATGCCCAAAACAACAAAAATATTAAACATAAAAAACCATCACCACCACATAACTGTTTTAATATATCTTTCACAAATATAAATTGATATAAAAGAAACAAAAACATTTCCAAATATATACTTTTTCTATATAACTTTTATGTATAATTAAAAAAAAAAAATTCACTTTCAAATTATCAAAACACTTCTTTCTAATGGCTTTATTAAAGTCATCCACAAAGGTCAACACTCTTCATCATTTCCAATAACATCTGGGATACCTCAAGGTTCTACCCTTAGTACTGTTTTGTTTCTTATCTACATTAATGATCTTCCTAACAATCTTATATCTAAAGTGGATTTGCTGATGACTTAACTTGAAACTTCTATCTTTATAGTCTTCACTTTTTGTTCACTTAGAATCGGCATCTGATCTTGAATCTGATCTCTCTTCTGTAACAGATTAAGGCTTGCAGTGGCTTATCAATTTTAAATCCAACAAAACTGTTTACAGCAAACAACTATTGCAACACTGTCGACATTCCTATATTAATGAATAACAACTCACTGATTCTTCTTCATTAAGTCTTCTATCATCCACTACTGACCTCTCAGAGAAACCATAAATACAATTGATTGTCTATCGTTCACTACTGACCTCTCATAGAAACCAAATATACAATTGATTGCAAAGTTAACAAAGTTGCTTCTAATTATTGTGCCCACCATTTTCTTACTCCTGATTGTCATATTTGAGCTGGTTATTTTAATGATGATCTTTCTCTACTAGATAAGATAAAAAAACACATTGTAAATGTAGTTACACCTGCTCTATCTGTCACACTTGAGCTTTTCTCCCATTGTTATAAGGTTGCATCCCTTTCTTATTTCTAGAAATATTATCATGGTTGCTGCTCAAAGAAGTTATCATCTTTAATTCCACCAACTCATCTTTGCTTGACTCATCGGCAAAGTTGCATTTTTCTACTGTATCTATCCTTGCATGCTCTAAAAACTTTTATTTGTCAATTTTTGTTCGCCTGCATTATAATCCTTTGGAACTCTTTTCTATCTTCATGTTTTGCTGACTCATACAGTTTACAACTTTTCAAGTTTTGTATCAACCATTTCCTTGCTCTTTAACTCTATTTTTTATTTTCTAATAACTTCAAACTTAATAGTGGTTGCTTGCAGCCTTGTTCGGTTGCTTGCAGCCTTGTTCCGTTGCTTGCAGCCTTGTTCGGAGTAAATTAAACTAAATTTATATAAAAAAAAAAAAATTCACTTTAAAAAATGAAGTAAAAGTTAAGAGTAAAAACAATCTTTCATATTTTAAAACTAAAGTTGAGCATTTTTCATACAATAAAATATAATTCAAACTTTATGACATGCTACAAAGTTTTAATTACTTTTGATTATATGAAGCTGAACTTCAGTTTCAAAATAAGAAACATTGTTTTTACTCTTGATTATATAAAAATAGCTGAACTTTTGTTGTCAGATAAAACATGTAAAGAACAAATGAAAGATTGTTCATAATTTTTTTATCACATTATTAGTAATTCTATTATCTTTTTTGTTTTATTATATCATATATTATTATAAAACAAATTAGTTGTTTAAATAACATTTTTATGGTAGTTAAATAGTTAAAATAATACAAATAAAATATTAAAATAAAATTTTTAAAAATACTTTTTAAAAAATCAAACATAGTAAAATATAAAAAAAATTTAAAAAATACTTTTAATTGCTGATTTGTCTTTTTTAAAAATTGAATTTCTTCAGAGTGTTTTTTTTCTTCAATTGCACGACGTTCAACATCTCTTTTTTCAATGGCATCACATTTTCCTTTTAACTCGTTTACTTGCTTCTCAAGTTCTTCTTTTTGCTGAGTCAGATCATTAATCTAAAATATGAAAAATCTTTTTAAAACTTATAGATGAAATGATAATTTTTTTTTCCAACATCTTCACTTACAACAAGGCAGTAAGCAACCACTATTAAAGTTGGAAGTTACTGGAAGAAAAAAGATGAAATTTATTGAATAAAATAACAACTGATAGACAACTTAAAAGATTTCAAATTTTATAAATTTAGAGGCTGATTCCATTAACAGCTGTAAAATATTGAGTAAAATACAGCTCATATAGAGGCTGTAAAATATCAGAGTACTAACAGTGCCATGTTGTGTATGGATGGTGTCCCTGTTTGTACTTTTGATGTGCATTGTCGAGGCTGCATTTGGAGCCTTTGTTATGGCTTAGGGTTTATGAGGCAATTGCTTGGGCTATTAAATAGTGTACTGAGTACTATCTGCACTTTAATTCAAGTTCTTTAACAAATTTAAAAATGAATAAAGTACCAAAAAGTATAAAACACAAAAAACCATCATCATCACTTAGTTCTCTAAATCTATCATTCACTACTATTTGTGGTCTTCGAAGTAGCTTTTCTGTAGAGTTAAAAATTTCTCTTGAAAAGTTCACCAGACCTAATTGCTCTTTGTGTAACAAATTTGAGTTCGGCTGTCTCATCTTGTGGTTTTAGTGTTGATGGTTATCTTCCTTTAATTGAAGATCTCAGTGCTAAAAGTACATAAGACACATTTTGACGAAACCAAGCTAATTTTTGCTAATACAGTTAAGCCCTGTGTACTGGATAAATTGCAACTATGTCCCTCCTTTTAAACAAGCCAAAAAAAAGAATGATACAATATTTTGAACAAATAGTACTATGTCCCCAATTTCAGTGTTAAAAGTACTTATCTTAGCGTTCCTGCTAATCGGTTTTTAGAATGAGTTTATAGTATTAAAAAAATGGCGAACACAGCAACCACTACATTATCCAAGATTCAATCCATAGCCAAAAAAAGAAGATTAACACCATCAAAATGGAAAAGAAACAGCATTAAGTTGGCTAAAGTCCGAGGTAAGGTGTGTGTGTATATATATATATATATATATATATATATATATATATATATATATATATATATATATATATATATATATATATATATATATATATATAATATGTATATATATATATATATATATATATATATATATATATATATATATATATATATATATATATATATATAATATATAATATGATAAGAATACACTAAACAAGCTTATATAGTGTATATAATATATACCATATAAACTTGTGTATTCTACAAAAAGTATGCTCAATGTTTTAGGCCTAAAAAGAAAATGGTAAAGAAGGAAGCAGCTTCTTCTACTCAATCACTGCATTAGCATAGCATTTCTTGCTATGCATGGGGTAAAGGAAGCTAGACTTAAAAAAAGTTCTTAAATTTTCTGTTTCCATTGCAGATGGCCGGGGCAAACACAAAAACCATTTAAAAAATGATTTAAAAAATTTGAGATCGTGTTTGTAATCACATTAGACTGTTTCTTGCACATGAAAGCCACTGCAGCTGATCAAAAAACAAACACAAAAAATTTCTAGATTCATCTCTGACTGTGGCAGAAATGCATCGCCTATTTTTAAAGGCAAATTCAGATCTTGTACCTAATGATTGTTTACAATGACATTTAACTTCAAATTTAATATTAAGTTTGGATTTCCAAGGAGTGACATGTGATAAGTGTTAAAAATTTCAGACACAAATTAAAGAAGCAGAATCTATTAATGATGTGATTCTAGTAAATAAACTGAAATTTCAATATAAGCTTCACATAAAGAAAGCAGATAAATGTACAAATCAACATAGCCACAAAAGATGCAAAACTAAGCAAAGACACTGCTGTGTAAATTTTTTAAGTGGTAAATTTTTTTGAAAAAAATTTACCACTTCCTCTAACTGGCATTGGACAAGAGTTTTATAAGCTTCAACTTTGGATTCACAACCTGTGCATTCATGACAATGTAAATGAATCTGCTACATGCATCTATTTGCTGAATATTTTGCATTTAAGGGCTTAAATGGAGTCATTTCATATCTGAACCATTTCATTTCTAGTCTTCCAGCTACAACTATAAAAATTATAATTTTCATGGATAGCTGTTTTCTAAAATTCTTGTGTTAATCGCCATTCAATCAAGTCTCATCCTTTTTCTGTGACTGTTCCAAAATGCTCTAAAAATTCCTATTCATCTAGTTTTTTTTCCTCTAATATCAGTACTTTGGAATTTGCTTTATCTTGTTTTTGGAATTTACTTTTGAACTTACTTTACTTTGGAATTTACTTCATCTTGTTTTTCTGATTCATATAATTTGCAATCTTTTAAGTCGTCTGTTAATTGTTATCTTGCTCTATAAATTTCATTTTTTCTCTTCCTGTATTTTTCAACTCTAATACTGGTTTTGCTTGCAGCCTTTTTGGAAGTGAAGATGTTTAAAAAAATATTAATAATAATACAAGCTTGGTTGAGAAGCAAGTGCAATTACACTCTATATCTGACCACGCATAAAATATTTATTTGATGGTAAAAAAAAATTAACTAAAAAAGAAATGAATTCTTAACAAAGAAAATAACTTAACTAAAACAAAATAAATTACGTTTAGAACAAATTATTTCTAAACTAACTCATTTATAATTTTTTTATAAAATGATATAAAAAAATAATTGTTACGTTTTATAAAAGTGATACTTTTATAAAAAGTAACAATTTACTATTAACGGTCATTTAGTAAAGAAACAAATGCTCTTAAATTTATCAAAGCCTATAATATAATTCTTTATTTAAATATTTATATTTTAATTCAACAAGATTTAAATAAAACTAGCAGTAGTTGAACTATATAATAAATAAAAAAGTAAATACATTTTTATAATCATTTCATGCGTAGTTTCCAAAGTTTAAAATATTTATAACAGTTCTTCTTAAGTAAGATAAACAAAAGATATAATTAAATTGTTGCTTTACTATAAAAACATTATAACAACTTTTTTTTTAGCAATGTTTTTATAATGTTTAAAAGAATTCTGCAATGCGGCAGACCCTTAATCGGCAGCCTATAATGATCAGTTTCCAAACTGCACACTAAATAACTTTATATTTGATATATATAACATTAAATAACTTTATATTTGACTTAGGTCAAATGGCTTTTTATACTATCATATATATTATAAATTAATATATAAAAGGCTTATTACATTTTAAGTAAGTTATGATTTTATTTTGTCTTTTGCAAACTAGAAGCATGTTTTTATTGCATCAAATTATTAGAAAGCAAACTTTAATGATTAAACTTATTTAACCATTAAATATATTATAAAATATATTTATGTAGAGGAAGCAGCACTGCTTCACAATACCACTGATGTATTTAGTTAATAAGCTTTTTAATATATTTGTATGTTTTTGTTCTGTATGGACCACTAGCGTGATGCTGGTTCACCGTAAGTCACTTTATATTAATATATGTTTATATTTGGTCCGATCCTCTGGCGCGGTGCTATTTCACTCATAATTCACAATATGTATGTTCATATTTAGTCGCCTGTAAGTTCCTGTTTCTCTATTTGATTATTAATTTTATTAGCTTTGATGATTATTATATTTTAAATTTTATTGAAAACACAGTTATTGTTGAAAGTTCTATTTTTGTAAAATCGATTGTACAAACATTTTTAAAAAACTTACATTTAGAGAAAATAAAATTAATCTATATTACTATTTATATAATTATTTATCATAATTTTTAATAAAATTTACTTAACTCTATATAATTTAAAAAATTAAAATTTTCTTTTTTAAACAGTCATTAAAAGTAAACCATCTCTTAGTTTAAAAGTGTTTTGCTAATATTAAATCATTTGATTACAAAAGATTATTTACGAATTTAATTGTTTTAGAGTTTCAAAAAGTTTTGGACATAGATGGAAACATACATAAATTTAAATGTTCTCACTAAATATAATTTGTATGGTCAGAAATAGAGTGCAACCGCACCCGCTTCCCGACCAAGCCTGATAATAATAACTTTTGATCAAACCAATTTTATGCAACTTTATGTCATTTTTACAAACTTAAGTAAACTCAACATTTAAAGATTTGTTTTTATGTTTATCAACAAAACCAAAATTAAAAAAAATTGTTGAAAAATATATACACTATAAACCTTTTACTTCATGCACAATATACTAACACATATTGCTCCAATCTGTTGATAAAATATTTCATTTTTATTCCTTCTTTAACAGTCAAAAAATAAAGAGTGAAAGACACCATATTTTAAAAAAAAAATTTTTTACATAGTAAGATAACAATTGTAACCAAAACTTTGTAGTAAAGTTACTGACAATTAAAAATTTTTAGCTGAAAATTAGAGTATATTATCCATAAAATGAATGAAAACAGTCTTTGTGTATAGAGCAAAGTCAATTTTTATTTATACATTACAGATACTATTACCTGTATATTTTTCTTTTTTTTTTTGAAGTAAGCACAATATAATATTATTAAAAGTATTTTATTGTACATGAAACACAGTAAAAATGTGGCAACAACATAATTTCACATTTTTCAAATTTTAAATAATTGTTTTTTAAAAGTTTACAAATTATGAACCTTTTGCTCCATGTCAGTTTTTCCCTGTTCTGCCTGTAACGCTTTTCTCATGCCAAATGCAATGCTAAAAAATAAAAATGCAATGCTAAAAATAAAAATGCAATGCTAAAAATAAAAATGCAATGCTAAAAATAAAAATGCAAGGTTAAAAAATAAAAATATAAAAATAAAACTAAGTTAAATGAATGATTTAATACTTCGACAACAGCCAAGAAATAAATGTTAATATATTTATAATATATAATATTGTTAAGCCATTTTATTATCAATTATATAAGAAGCTAATAAGTAAAAACCTGTATTTAAAGTATTAATATCTATTTTATATTGTATAAATTTCTATTTTGCTTCAGACATTAAACATATATCTTTCAGTTTTTAGTTTTTCTGACTATTAATTTAAATATATCTAAGATGTTCATGTAAAATGTTTATGTAAGATGTTTATGTAAGATGTTTATGTAAGATGTTCATGCAAGATGTTCATGTAAGATCTTCATGCAAAATGTTTATGTAAGATACTCATGTAAGATATTCATGTAAGATGTTCATGTAAGATGCTTATGTAGATTTTAAGAAGAGTGTTACAAAACCAGGCTGTAAAGCCTGTCAAATAAGTTATATTTCCAGATACAAAATAAATAAAACATAGAAAAACTATGGTTTTCTCCATAATACTTTTAGCTTAGGCCGTAGAGATGTTTGTATATAAATAGCTCAGCTTTTGTTCCACCAGAAATATAAGTGACTTAAAAAAATGCTTTACAAAAAATATTACCAGTTTATTTTTAACCTCCTAAATCAGTTTTTGGCATTTGTCATCAGGAAACTATCCCATTCTTGTTCTATGCTTTTGTAAAACTACATATAGCTTTTTTTATTAAATTGACAATTCTCAAACAACTTAAATATTTGAATGAAACTATTTTTGTTTCAATTAGAAACACTAATTAACTGTAAATATAATAAATTTCTGTACCAAAATGTAAAACAAATAAACGTATAAAGTATGCTTTTTCAACAAACCTGCTCTCATATAATGTTTGATAGGCTGCTATGGTCATGCTAATTTCATCTCTGACTCTTAAAAGTAAAAGTCCACGCTCTGCGCAATTTATTGTCACTTGACGAATCAGTTCATCTATCAAATCAATTATGAAATAAGTATTAAAAAAAATCAAGAACAACAAAAAAAAAAAATTTAAATGAACATAAATCTTTTTTAAAAAAGAAGTCTGAATAAAAATACTAAAAAAAAATAAAACTACCAAAAGCTTGTGAATATAACTCTCTGCGGACTGGACATATACCAGTTTCTCTTGCTTGCCTTTGCTGCAATCTCATATCTAACTGCTCCTATACAAATATTTATCTTTTGTAAATAACTTATGAACTTAAATTCTGACGGTAAAATCTTTTTCATATTATGTAGGATATAGTCCCAAGTTTTAAATCTCCATTACAAGTATATGCATATGCAAGGATGCACATATTTGTAATGGATTAAGATTTAATGTAGAAAACTGCTTAAGATGTTTAATTTTTACCAATATTTATATAATGAAATGTAAATAAGTATATAAAAATATAAAATATTGTTTCCCCTTAAAATATCACTTTCTAAACTGTCTTCTAAATACAAAGTATGGTAACTGTTAAAAGTTTAAACTTTTATGAATTCAAAAAAATAATTTTGCATTACTGTATGAAAAAATTATTTTTTAAACTATTCATTTATAAGAATTCTATTCACAACATAAAGTGGAAAATTGTTTATAAAAAGAAAAAACCTAACCTCTTTATAAAATTATAACCTTGCCTCTTTACAAACATTTAAAATATAAATATCTATTTTATAATGTATAAATTTCTTTTTTGTTTCAGACATTAAACATATATCTTTCAGTTTTTATTTTTTCTGACAATTATTTTAAATATATTTAAGATGTTCATTTTATAAACATTTATATAATTTATTGATTCCACTGAGTTCAAAAAAAAAAGCATTTTTTTATTAATACATTATTACAAGAAGCTTATATAGTTCCAAAAAAACAGAAACACAAAAGCTGCATTGAAATTTTTTTTTGCCATTAAAAAAGATATTGTTTCACATAGATTACCTAAAACTTTACGAAATAATTTAAAAATATAGAATAAGGCATAGTTAAATAACAATTGAATAAAAGATATGATCAGGCATTGGCAAGTTTTAATGTTATAAAATTTGTAATTGAAAGTTTTATAGTTGAAATTAGTGCTGACAAAACAGCATGTTACACTGGTTGTAATAAGGGCTGCATCTGTATTTTAGAGTAGCTAATAGATTGATCTCTGATAAGACTTCTTTATAGAAAACATTCTCAAAAATGACATATTACATTAGACTTTCACAGGAAGGCGTGCAATCACACGTCTTTATATGACCACGCAAAAAAATAATATGTTTTAACGATTTGACCATTGCTTTTGACATATTTTATAAATTTAAAAATGCGCAACAAAAACATATCTAAACTTATCTAAAAAAAAAAATTGTAAAAAGAAAAAAAATCTTAACAAAAGAGAAAATAAAAAAAATATTTAGTTAAAACAAAAAACACAAAAAAAAATAAATATATAAAGCAACTAAAACAAAACTCATCAAACTAAAATGCTTAGTTTATTTAATTTACACATTAAAAAACCGTTTCAATCTTTGTTTTAACATTTGTACTTTTTTTTTTTTTAATTTTAATATGTTTCAAAAGATGAACATTTCTCATAAAAAATACATAATTATATAAATAAAAACAACAACAATTTATTAATACTTATTTTAAATTAATTAGTAGTGTTTTGTTACTTCATCGAAAAGCGTTTCGATAATATAAAAGCATTTAAGATCAAACTTATTTAATTGTAACGGCTTTTTAAAACTTTTTCAGTCAAATCGTCACAGAAAATGTAATTTGCATGGTCATATAAAGACGTGTGATCGCACTCCTTCCTGTGAAAGCCTGAATTACATGCAATAAATGCAATCACTACAGATAGCAAAGGTCCATCAAATTCTATTTACAAAAGATTCAAAGCTGCTAAGCCAATGCATTATGTAAATGATGAAAAAATATGGATCAGTTATTCAAGTTTCTATGGTACCAAGTTAGTGGAACTTCTTTAGAAGATATAGCTAAAAAAATCTTGTTGCAAAAAAGCTATGGAATTTTAAAGCTGCAATCCCAGGATCTTGGCTTTTTTTATAATTTCAAAATCATGAGATTGTCTAACATCAACCTCCCTATAAGATCAAACAAAACAAAGCACAATTAAAAATTATATAAAAATAACTACAATTTATGTGTATCAGTAAAATAATTTTTATTTAGTATAAAATTGCAGAAAGTAATTGTATAGTGGTATATTGCTCGTTTCATATACAAAAGGCTCCAAGTTTGATCGACACCATGTCCCTGGTAGTTCCACATTCAACTTGTTTATCTGCATAGCTGCCTTATTCATCAAGAGTTATATAGTTGAGAAAGGGTTGTGAGCACAATTAAAGTAGCCTCCTCAACTATAGTGGCCTTCTTGGTCTTGGAGAGATGAATTAACATTAAAAAAAAAACACGTTTTATATTTATATTATAATAACTCGTTATATAAAACAAATTTATGTTATTTGTAGAAAGTTATTTACATAAACACTTTTTAAATATTTGGGGTAGCTAAATATTTCAATATCTCAGTTACTATTGTTAGTTATTCATTTCAGTAATTCTGCACAATAAACCTTTTTCAAACTGAAAAACAATCGCGTTTCTTATAAAGTAGACTTTTAAAATTAAAAATCAAATAAGCATGACGTATGTGGATTTTACAACTAAAAGTAATTAAGCTTTGAAATATTTTCTTCCAGATGAGAAAGAAAGTGAATGTAAATTTTTACCATTTTTTGAAATCTTTTTGACTGCAAAAAGATTTCGAAAAATGGTGGTGGTTCAACAAAAAGACTTCATATTCACATGTTATCAGTGCTTAATGTGAAGGTCAAAAGTCCAACCCAACCTAATATTACAAAAGAAAGCACATTAAATAAACCACCAAAAAAGAAAATCTAAACCACTAATAGAATACTTTCAATTTATGAAAAGGAAGATAAAATACTTCAGGTTACACTTGCTCCCCTAATGGCATCGGATGGACTTTCATTTAATGTGATTTGTTCTTCAACAGATTTATGTGCCGCTCTAACTGCTATGGGATTGAGAAATCTACTAACGTCAGTAAATCGTCAGTAAAGAAATAGTTGCACAACAGTCAAACAAATAAAATAAATATAATTAAAATATATATTTACCTGAAATCTTTAGAAAAAATTTCTACCCGATTTGTGAGCTAATAAACATGATTATAAAAATATGCAAATGTTTATAAAAAGATTAGTATACGTTTATGACTGCTGTGAAATCGGTAAAAGACTTTATTGATTCTACAATTTGGAGAAAAAATTGCAGAAAGATATTTTAATAGTTTTGAAGGAACTAAGAACTAATTATCCATTTTATAAATGTGAAATTTTGTACAGACTTTCCTAAAAGTTGAGCCAATTCACACAAAATTATTTCTAATGATCCTTGCTCTAATTAAAACAACAATTTAATAAATAATAATAAGTCAAAAATACATCTCCTGCTTGTTTAGTCAGTTACGGGTTGATGTCAAATATGTATTTGTATTTAAATTTGTATTCAATAAAAATAGACTAATTTGGCGTATTTGTATTTGTATGGTATTTGATTTAAAAATTTTTAAATATTTGTATTTGATTGTAATTCCATAAACTAGGTTATTTTGGGATAATACAATGAGATTTGTTTTTGTTTTTTATTTTTTTAAAAATTTTTACTAAAGTAAAATAAAAAATTATTTCTAAGAGATACTTGTTAGAAGACTTCTTTTCATTCTTCTATTTAGTAGAGCATTTTATGAGTCTTGTCTTAAAAAAACCTTTACTTTTTTTCTTAATCTAAAGTACAAATATTTGTATTTGTATTTGAAAAATGCTAATTAAATATATTTGCACTTGAAATTGTATTTGGAAATCTAGAATTAATGTATTTGAATTTGTATGTGTATTTAACAAAATGTATGATCAAATATATTTGAACCCAACCCTGGTCAGTTGACGTATGTATTGAAGCCTCCACAGTTTCTGATTTCAGTATGACATCGTCTACGTGTATATAATGCTACTTTCAAATATGTATACATTATATACATATGTATATATATATATATATATATATATATATATATATATATATATATATATATATATATATATATATATATATATATATATATATATATATGCAATGTATTAGTATAATATCTGAATAGTATAATACTTGAATACTAAAATAAAACTATACCTGCAGATTAACAACATCCATACGTGTTGCAGGTGTACTTGATACTTCTTGAATCCAAAGTTGACCACCTTCAGATCTTTCTCTAAAACAGTTTTACTTATTTATAAGTAATGCAAAAATAGGTAACAAATTTTGCAATATTCTTTAGTAATAGTTAACAGAACTATATTCCATTATATAGTAAAAAATCAGATTGCTAGAATCTACATTTAATTTTTATCTTAAATAAAATTTACAATTGATCTATGAGTGTTTAAAGAAGTTACTTTAGGGTAATTCAAAATAAAATTATGTCTCAGAATTTGTTCAATTTGTTCAATTATAACTGGGAAAATTTTAGTTAAAATATTCATAGGTTCCAGATATATCGTCAGTTGAAATAATGTTGACTCAGCATTTTAGTGATTATCTGAAGCAACTACAAAGCAGTTTTGACATAAAGTATCTTCATAATGGCTTGGGAAATTTCCTAAAATTTGGTACCCCAATAGATTTTTACTTGAGGAATCCAAAAATGATCAAGACTTGATTGTGCCTTGCTTTTTCCAATTTTGTTCAAAATTATTGACTTGTAAATTAATGATTTTTGAAGGTAAAACGAAGACTGTGACCCAAAATCCCTAATAAAAAGTTTAATTGTATATCAATATTTTATCTTAGGTCTACTGAAAAAAAGTTAGATTCATCAAAATTTGCATTTAAAAATTGTCTTTTTAGAAAAATTAAAATTTTGTAATGAAAGCAATTGAGATGTTTTTTAAAACATTTTAACAACCAATATCTTTATGGTATTATTTAGTAATTTAAGCCTAATATAGTCATTGACATAATAAGGTGGGCAGTGGGATTTATTTAAACCCCATCCTTTTCACCCTTCCATCCAAGGATTTGAAAAAAATGATTAATTCTAAAAACAAAAAAGGTAAATAAAATTACATCAAAATTATTTTAAATGTATTTAATTTTTTTTGTAACCAACTGTCAATATTCTCCAAATCTAAATTAGATATGTTGTACGCACGACCTGATATTTTTGTAGGTGTAGAAATTAGGCATATAACTTCAGAATTAAGCACCCAACACTTGTCATTTTTCATTGGCCAAAAAAGGTTTTTTACTTGGTCCATGTGGATGCATGAAACTGACTTTTATATCAACTCACTTACATCTATGATAAAAACATGCAACATAATCCAACTTTTTAATGTTTAATAAAATCTTTTTATTATGTTTGCTTTTTGGAATAATATCAATATTTTAATACATGTATCAATACTTGTTTTTTTATAACTTATATTGGAATAAAATGATGATACATCCTTATGCCAGGAACTCTTCTTCCACCTAAATATCTTTTTTCTAATTGTGCTTTTGTTTGGTCTATTTCATCTTTAGAAAATAATTTAAAACAAATTCCATTTATTTTGGTTTTACAAAAGGATTACATCATATTAACATCTGAAATCTGTCCAGTAGTTACTTGTATTAGACTTTCTTGACATACTACTCTTTTAACAATCCCACCAATACCATAACAGTTGTAAATGACCGGAGCTGGTATTTGACTGTGGCCAAGGCCGGTTCTATGGCTGGTACTGCATAAACATTGGTGCGAATTAACCTGTTTTTATATATCAATATGCACCAATATTTATACAGCCCAAGCGATAAACCCGGCTTTGGCTCAGGTCATATACCAGCCTCGATCGTTTATTACATCACAGGGGGATTTACTACAACTTTTAGCGAAAAAAAACCATTCAGCATTAAAATCAAAATCTTTACTGTGATGACAAAGTTAAAGTTTTTAAAAATTTTATATTGTGCTGCACAACCAATAGAAAAGTATTTCACACTTGATACATCAGGTAGATTTTCTTTGATATTGAGTTTCTATAGTTTTTTATCAAAAGTTTGTACAATAGCTAAAATAAACAAATTTATAAGTTAAAAGCACTTAAAAAAATCACCATTAAAATGAAAATTTAAAATAAAATATGTTTATATTTGCTTGTATATATATATATATATATATATATATATATATATATATATATATATATATATATATATATATATATATATATACGCAAACTCAGTCAGGTCAGGTTTATCCTGCTACTGGTAACATATAACCCAGTACAATCTGCTTCATGTCCTGCTGCCTTGTAGGATATGCCTTTTTAGGCAAAGGTTAGGAGATGCAAACTCCGACAAAAAACACCCCCTGCCTTGGGGCTCTTGGTTGAGTAAAGGCTAGAGATGGTGTCTCGATAAAAATACTTATCTTGGGCAGATGTTAAATGCATCCAGCTTGCTGTCATCTATTAAGCTGGCGCAGATGTATTTTTATTACATTGTTTCCAGTTTAGGATGTTGAACGCTGGATCTTCTTGACTCGATGCATGGGTTTTGCTTGTGTCTCAATATAATGAGTTGCCTAGTTTTTATGACTAGGCAACTCATTCTATTATCTCCAAATGAGGGTACAGCTCTAAAACTCAGTTTTATGGTTCTAAGGCCGACTGGTATTCAGGTTTCCTGAACTCTGTGGTAGCTCTCAGAGAGGCTGATTCCATCAACAGCTGAAAAATATCAGAGTACTAACAGTACCATGTTGCGCATGAATGGTGTCCCTGTTTGTACTTTTGGTGTGCATTGCCAAGGCCACATTGGAGCCCTTTGTTACGGCTTAAGGTTTATTAGTGGAAATGAGGCAATTGTTTGGGCTATAAAACAGTGCACTGAGTACTATCTATGTTTCGAGTCAAGTTTTTTAACAAATTTAAAAATGAATAAAGTAACAAAAACTATAAAACACAAAAAACCACAGTCATCACCAAGTTCGCTAAACCTATCATTCACCAATATTTGTGGTTTTCAAAGTAACTTTTCTTCTGTTGAGTCTTATCTCTTGCAAAGTTCACCAGACCTACTTGCTCATTGTGAGACTAATTTGAGTTCAGCTGTCTTATCTTGTGATCTTAGTGTTGATGGTTATCTGCCTTTAATTTGTAAAGACTTCAATAATCACATACTTGGCCTAGGAATTTACATTTGTAAGAACTCACCCATTTGTCTGGAAACTAGGTTTGAATCCACAGACTACTCTTTTATGTGCTTTCGTTTAGCACCACTTCACTCTATCACCTTTCTCTTTGTTCTATATCGCTCTCCCTCATCTCAAGACTGCACTCTTCTTGATGTTATTTCTGATTATATTGACCAAGCCCTCATTCTTTATTTATCAGCCAATATTGTTGTTGTCAGTGACTTTAATGTTCATCACACTGAATGGCTTGGCTCTAGTGTCAGTGACTCCGCAGGCATTAAGGCTCACAACTTTTGCCTTTCTTAATCCCTAACTCAAATAGTCAACTTTCCAACTCGCTTTCCAGACAACCCGAATCATTTACCTTCTCTACTCAACTTATGACTTGTTTCTAATCCTAGTCAGTGCTCAGTTTCTCCACATTTACCCTTAGGTGTTTCTGATCATGGTTAGATCTCTCTAAAACTTATCTCATTCTTCTTTACCATCAGAATCCCCCTATCACTGTACATCTTACTACCTTAAAGCTGACTGGGATTCTTTCCGTGATTTTCTTCGTGATGACCCCTGGGTAGAAATCTTTCGTCTTCCTGTTGACAAATGTGTTTCTTACATAACTTTGTGGATTCAGGCTAGAATGGAATCCTTTATTCCTTCTCGACGATTCCAGGTCAAGCCTCACTCTTCTCCATGGTTTTCCTCACAGTGTGCTGCTGCAATTGCCAATCGAAACCATTACTTTTATATCTATCAACAAAACAATTCTCCAGAAAACAGACGTCTGTTTATTACTGCTAGGAACCATTGTAAAAAGGTTTTGTCTAACGCCAAAGCCTGCTATTCTCAGATCATGAAATCTCGTATTTCATCACAAAAATTAGGCTCTCGTGACTTCTGGAGAATCTTTAATAGTATCAATAATAAGGGCAAGTTTGTAATTTCACCTCTTTTGTACGGTTCAGACTTTGTCACATCACCTAAAGACAAAACTGAATTCTTTGCCAAGAACTTTTCATCAATATCATCTCTTGATTCCACTAGTTGTGTTCTACCTGATAAAGCCGTCAAACAGGTTGATCGACTGCTCGACATCTGTATCACTCCAGCTTCTGTATCTAAAGTGATTTCCTGCTTAGACTCTTCTACAGCTTGCGGCCCGGACAACATACCTGTTATAGTCTTGCAGAAGTGTTCTCCAGAGCTGTCGTCTATCCTTTCAAAACTATTTAACAAGTGCTTATCAGAGTCTTGTTTTCCAGCCTGCTGGAAAGCAGCATCTGTTATCCCTATTTTTAAAAATTCTGGAGAGCGATCTGCAGGGTTGGAAAAAACCCAGGGTTTTTTAAAAAAACCCAACCCAAATGGGTTTTTTTGGGTTTTATTGGGTTTTTTTGGGTTTTATGGGTTTTTTGGGTTTTTTTAAAAATCGATCAAAATACCAAATTTTTATAATTGTATGAGTACAATAATTTTTTTTTTTAATTTCATAAATTCACCTCCCTATTGCTCCAATGACCATTTCAGTCAAGGGAGCAACTCATTTTTTAAAAATATTTTGTCTCAATCCTTAACATTACCATTTTTACTAACAAACAACATTAACAACTAAAATTTTTAAACAAAGGCGCTGTTTGGAGAAATAGATTGAGACAGTAATTTCAGCAGAAGTAATTTGAACCCCAACCTTCTGGTTGCGAGCCAAATGTTTTACTACTAGTCTACTAGCACATTTTACCTATAGTGCAAAAAGGGACTCCATCAACTATAAATGATGTTAATTAATTGCTCTAAATTAAAAACATGTTCAGAACATCTTTGACAAAAAAAAAATCTATGTAAAAATTATGACAATTGAGTTATTCAAAGTTGGTAAGACAATATAAATGTTGCAAACTAGTTTTTTTTACTAACATGTTCAAAAACTACTTTGCACAAGTTTACAACATGTAATCAACAAGTTTGCAACATGATGTTGCAACCTTATAAGTTATTATCAATCAGGATGACTATGAACACTTTTTAAACATTTTTGTATCATAGAAGAAAACTGCTAGCCTAATCACTACATTTTTTTTATCAGAACATTATACATTATAGCTTCTTGGAAAAGTTATTGGCCTGATCAACTGGACTGGCAAAAAATGGATTTTTGCCTAAACTTTGTTTCTAAATATATATAAAGTAAATTTGTAAAGAACCATTACAGTGTCTTCGCCACCAAGTTATTTTTTTTCCTTGAAGATGTTTTACCGGCTCAGTTTTGCAATGCAAATTGCAAACTGAATCAAAGTAACACATTATATAGCTCTATTGTGTGTGTTTCTTCACCTTTTAGCAACTTGATACTGATGTTAATTTTCAACCCGCTGTTCATAGTCACCCCTGTTGGTGGTACATGTTGTAAACTTGTAGCTGATGCAAAATGTTCAAAACCTGTTAAATATTCAAAAGACAGATGAGCACGAGTGTCATTTTTACCGACAAATCTTGTCTTTGTGAAATGCATACAAGTTTTCAACATGTTCTCTCATTGAATGAGCAAACATGCTGCAAGCTTGCTTGCACATAACTTAATTTTTTTTTAAGTTTTAAAGTTGTATGCACTGAAGGACAAATCTAGTAAACTGTAGCATTTTTTTTTGCCTGACAACTTTCCATTTCTAAACTGTAAATAAAGTTTAATTTTTATATATAGTATTTTGCTTGTGGCTTTGTATTTTTTTTTTTTTTTTTGCAGTTAACAACATAAGCTTTAAAAAATAAAAAATCCAATACCAATATAAAAGAATACAGACATTCGAGAGGAGAATAAAGATACTAAATAACTAGTAATGTCTTGAAATTTAGTTAATAGAATGATTTTTATTTCCTTTATAAGTATTTAACTAATTTAATGTTTTAATACATATTTCAATAACATTTATAATAACTTGCTAAATGTTTTAAAAAAATAATAAATAACCAACTTGCTACAAAAACAGATTGATCGATTTTGGGTATATCCTAAAGACCATTATGTATATAAATACAGTGTTTACAAGAGTAATTACAGTATAAAGGTTGCACTAGGTGATAATAAAGCATTTATAAGTGTTAAAATCAGAGTTATCAGTTGTAAAATAGGTCATTTTTAAAAAAACCCAAATATATTTTGGATTTTTTTGGGTTTTATTGGGTTTTTTTAAGGTGGGTTTTTTTGGGTTTTTTTGGGTTGGGTTTTTTTGCCAACCCTGGCGATCTGACTCATCTAACTACCGTCCCATTAGTCTTCTTCCTATCATAAGCAAGGTTTTCGAATCTTTAATTAACAAACACTAAATCTCTCATCTCGAATATCATAACCTACTTTCTGATCATCAATATGGATTTCGATCTTCTC